GAGTGGCTTGGTGAACATTTCCCCCAGCTCCCTCAGTACCCTTGGGTGGATCCCGTCTGGCCCCATAGACTTGTGTGTGTCTAAGTGGTGTAGCAGACTGCTAATCATTGGATTATGGGGACTTCATTCTGGTCCGTGTCCCTGTCTTCCAGCTCAGGGGGCTGGGTACCTGGAGAGCAACTAGTCTTACTCTTAAAGACTGAGGCAAAGGCAGCATTAAGTACCTCAGCCTTTTCCCTGTCCTTTGTCATTATGTTCCCCCCTGCATCCAATGAAGGATGGAGATGCTCCTCAACCCTCCCTTTATTGCTAATGTATTTACAGAAACATTTTTTTACTGTCTTTTACAGCAATAGGCACATGAAATTCTTATTGGGCTTGGGCCCTTGTCATTTTCTCCTTGCATAACCTCACGACATCCTTGTAGGCCTCCTGAGTTGCCTGTCCCTTCTTCCAAAGGTCATAAACTCCCCTTTTTTTCCGGACTTCCAGCCAAAGCTCTCTGTTCAGCCAGGCCGGTCTTCTTCCCCACTGGCTCATCTTTCAGCACACAGGGACAGCCCGCTCCTGTGCCTTTAAGATTTCCTTCTTGATGAATGTCCAGACTTCCTGGACTCCTTTGCCCTTCAGGACTGCCTCCCAAGGGACTCTCTCAACCAGGCCCCTAAAGAGGCCAAAGTCTGCCCTCTGGAAGTCCCAGGTACTGGTTCTGCTGACCCCTCTCATTACTTCTCCAAGAACCAAAAGCTCTATCAATTCATGATCTCTGTGCCCAAGATGGCCTTCAACCATAACATTACCCACAAGTCCTCTGTTCGCAAACAACAGGTCCAATGGGGCACCTTCCCTTGTTGGCTTACTCACCAGCTGTCTCAGGAAGTTCTATTCCACACGCTCCAGGAGCCTCCTAGACTGTTTCCTCTCCACTTTAATGTATTTCCAGCAGACATCTGGTAAGTCAAAGCCTCCCATAAGAATAAGGGCACGCATCCTCAGAGATAGTTACAGGCTTTCTTTCTACCAATCACATCGTTCCTAAGTTTGTGTTCACGTTGCTTTATGACAAGAATGGTTACAAACAATTCTCTTTTAACAGAAGAGAAGAAATGAAAAGGAAAACAATCATAAACTTACTGAAGCCTCTTGTGTAACTACAATCCCCTAAGCACAGAACTTTTGCTTCAAAACAAGAAGATGCTATCTTAAGATAGTACTTTAACAAACCTGTGTGTTTTCATTTAATGCTTTCTCCTGTTGCCACGGTGACACAGAAGCAGGTACATGAAAGGTGACACAATCATGCTGAAAACTCAGTTCAGTGATATAGGTGACTTTGATCATAACTGTAGAATTTGGAAATAAGTTTCCAATGCTTATTACAAAAATATCCTAAAAAAAACCCCAAACCAACACAAACTAGCTTTAATGGCATCATTATGTTTTCCAAAACAGTAATTTATTTGGTGTTTAGGCACACTGAAATCAAATGCTAAACCAGAAACTACTATGTGGTTTTGGTGAAGTGTAAGGAAAAATGTGACTATGATATGACATGTCACACTTTCAGTAAATCCTTAATTTCTGGCAAAACCTGTCAATAGTACTGAATAAATCAATCTTTACAAAAAAAAGAGGAAGCCACCTGAAAGAGTGCTATTATTGCTAGCATAGCAACTATTTAACGAAACAATAGTTATTTTTAAAAATGATCGAATGTATGGTCCAAGTAAGTTCTAGGAAAAAGGAGTTTTCCCAACAAAGACACGATTCAGCAAAGAATCTGTAATTGGACAACTGCAAAATTTTCAAGTAGGTATTAAACCACAATATTCAACATACCGGTGCATCCTGGTCCATTAGATAAGCTCCATCACCCTGACTGATAGCTTTCTGATATTCCCTATGTGCTTGTTTCTTTTCTTTAGCCTATGAAAGATTGTCCCAAAATAAGTAATTTCATCTCTACACACAGAAAACTTAACTGCTATTCTCTTAAATGACGTGACTACCTTGAAATCCAGTCAAGTGGTAACAATAAAGGATGTGAGAGAACCCAAAATTCGTGTTGTAAATCTTCATTACTAATTAAGTGCTTTTAGATCTCGAGACTGAAGGAGCTACATCAAGTACACTAACATTTTACCTCTCCAGTGACGTGTTTTCCATTGATAAAAGCTTCAAATCCACAAACAACAGCTTTATCATCCAAAGGAAAGACATATTTAGCTTAAATTGGTTTACTGCTTTGATTGGTGCAGATCTGAAACATTACTACCTGAAATGGATATTTTTTGCATAGCTTTAATGTTAAAATGTGATTAAAACATCAATACTTTAAGTGTAATAGCGTAACTGCTTCGCACCACAAAATGTCAATAGGCATGTCACAACCAGAACTTCTATTTGTATCTTGGAAACGAAGGTATAACATTCATCAGTGCTTGACAAATAGATATCTCCAGAAGCATGCAAGGAGCTGTAGAACTTTTAATCTCTAAACCATTAATCAAATCTCTTCCAGAAGAAAAGTAAACCATGACCTTTTAAAGGTTATCTGATATATTGGCAGAGCTGGAGCTGTCAAGCTATGCCTACAAAAGAAGCCACCACTGCAATATGTCTATAATAGTTCAAGACAGTAAGGACTAAACAAGAAGGAAGAATAAACCTCCACAAAAAATTGGTCTGGTTTTACGATATACTAAAAGGGATGTTTGGAAAGCCTGTGTTACTTCTATATGTATAGTATCCATCTTCTAATGACAGAATTTCTGTCTCTGAGGTGGTAGATTGCATCTGACTTTCTTCTCACATCTGCTCTTCTGTTTACTTCCCATGCATCATAACAAAACTAGCAATTCCTCATTCCCCTTTGCTGCCATTCTTATTGTCTCTTGCCATCTGATCATTTCTGGTTTATGCTCTGTACCTCAGCCCTATAGACTGCTTTCTGCTTTGATGGACTTGGTCACAGAACAGATGTCACTGGATAGTAATTAATTCCATAGGAAAGCAGACAAAAACCCCCAACCCAACCCAAACTGAAACCCAAACAAAAAAATCCCCCAACAATCCCTCATGAGAAGAACAGTCATTCAAAGGAATCAGACTGATCAGACAACAGTTGTGAGTGTCAGGATAGTTTAAGCACAGACTCATTTGCAGACCATTCTTTCAAACCCTTTTCTCTCCTGTTCTCCCTTGCTTTCTTTTTTAAAGCTTTAGCAACAACATATATAAAACATTGTTTACTTTTATGAAGCTACTTCAGCACTGGAAACCCCTGAATACAGATGCTTGTCGAGAGACACACATGTGACAGCCATGGCTTTAGCATGATTGAGACTGCTTCAGGCAGGATGCAGGTGAAGGGGGAGCAGATTGTGAAATTATGCCCTAAGACTGGGAAAGACCTGTGACTTGACAGAATGTGTTCTTAGAGAATATGTACTGAAAAAAAACGTGGGCCTTTTTTTTAGCCTGCTTAGCTAACTTTTATTAGCTAATTTTCAGGTTAGAATAGCATGTTCTTTTGTATCGTTTGATATTTTACTTGTGACAGCTAATTTAGGTTGTCAAAACCAAAATGCAAATACATTTCCATAAAACTTTAATCATCCTAGGTATTTCTCCCTGGTTTATAATTCAGCTGGCAAACAGAAGACCAAGAAGCTCTTTTAAAGGGAACAGAATGCGTACACTGCTGCAGAAAGTTTCTCCACAATGCTGACTCGGTTACGCATAGGCAGAAAAAGACTTAAAAACAAAGCCAAGCCTTCTACTGTCCAAAGAGCTTTTGGCATTGTTTGACTATACATCTCTAAGAATAAAACCTGTTTCCACTTAGTTTCAGGACTTTCCTTCATTTAGAGATTGAATTGCCTTTTTTTTGCAATTAACTAAACACTAAATAGCATTTTGACTAAAACACTATTTAACAAATGGATTAGCTTTTAAGGACTGAGTTATGGAAAAGGACAATAAATAGCATACCCTACCTGTACTACAAAGTCTGTTATCCTTGCCTTGATGTAAACACCTCCAGAGGGACAGGATTTCCCAACCTGTCCTGAAGACCAGTTTTTGCAGGATTTAGAAGATCTGCATTTGGTAATGCATAGCCTAGACAAAGAGTTTATGAAAGATTAAAAAGATATTTTCTTAAATATATATTTGGGAAAGATGATTGAAACTAATCCTATATCGAGGGCCCATGTTTATTTATGTCATTCACAACACAAAAGTAACACTCAGATTCTGTTATGAATACTTGTGTTGTATTGCTGGGCTGTATTGCTGTCTGCCTAAGGGATCGTGAGTTCATGATAGTTCTTTAAGGTCTTACAAGGTCTTTGTTTAGAACCTTGCATTTGAATTATTTAAAGACTGTCTGATGATTTATGCAAAAGTGCTTCCCGTGCTTCTCTTGAAACACACTGTGACAGGAGGAGTTGCAACTGCTGTTGGTAATTATACCTATAGGAAATCTGTTAAACAGATGCTACACAGATGCCACACGGTAATCACTGATTTGGTAACATCCGCAAATAAACTACAAATTCTTTTTTATTATGTTATCTTCATGCAAGTACTCTAAAAAGGGTTCTGATAAGTATTTAGGAAACACTGGAAGCAAGTCAATATACAAACAGAAAACATTTCTTACTCTCGTGCTGTAGATGACATTGTGACTCTGGCTGATTGCTATCTCCAGTTAACTAACTGATTGTTATTCAGTTCCACCCCAATTGCAGGCTGAAATGGTTTTATTTGATCTTCAGCAAGGCAAAGCTTAACAACATATCTAATTTTAACCTGACAGGTTTTATACATTACAAATTCATCACCCTGGTAGAAACAAAGAAAGGTATTTTACCAGAAAAACAAAGCTGCAGGTAGTATCTAAAACAATTCAAATCGATTAAGAGGTGAACCTTAATGACACATCATTTTTTAAAAATAGTAATAATCTGACAGCTTTTGTTTTCACTCCCCTAATCTCTCTGTATCACTATCACCTGCATCTCTTATCTTCTTACTTTGTATTCTCCACACTCCTTGTATTTCCTCCTCTACCTAAAGCACAATCATTCCTCAAAATAACTAAGAACAAGAAAAAAGTAAAAAACTGGTGGATATCTAGAGAGCAACTGTTTCTGTTATTGCGCCACTACAGCTATCATCCCTGCCTTAGAGGATGCCCTATAAGGACAGGGATTTTTATCAGCTGGATTCATTTACAAAACAATGAGCCTTCCACAGTAGTGATTTCTTATCGCATACAAAGTAGAATATCACTTCCGAGTAACAAATTAAATATCACAAACCAGATATTTATATGATGATACAGTTATAATAAAATAAAGACATAATGTTTACATATTTCTTTTAAGCATTTTTTTCTTGCAAGCATTCTTGACAAATAGCAATTTAGAGGCTTAGAAGTTTTATACACACTTCACAAGCTGCAAGACAGACAAAAGTGATTTGACGCATTACTGTGTAGTGATTTAGTCTCTGAACTGAAATGCAGGTTACATTCATTCTGTTACCTATCAGTGGTATAATAAATAGAAAATTTGGTGCCTTTTCAAGTGCCCGATACTGCAGGATCAGTACCTCAAGGTCTGAAGAGATGTCTGCTGTTTTACCGACCCCATGAACACTGTCATAACCTGATGGTGCATTATTTAATGAATAATCTCGTTCATACAAATCTAAGCAGGATCCAAGTGCCACATCGCAAACTGCCAGGAGCTGTGTTCCATCCATTTCACTGGGTGAAGAATACTTAATATTGGTGTTATATGTAAAGAAAGATCATACACATTTTATTAAAATTTATATTCATGTAAACATTATAGAAGTTTAAGGATACACAAGTACTTCTGAACAGATTGACGGAATAAACTTTATAATGAAATCACCTTAAAAGTATTAAGCATTGTATCTACTTAATTTGAGAAGTAAAAAGAATACACAAATGTAAAGAGATATTGTAGCTACTCAGACCTAACAGAATCACTGAAGTAAATGCCACTGCCCAGATTTCCAACATCAGTTTTTTCCAGGCCATGATCTTCATCAATCACTTTTGGCATTAGGAGTCCTCTAGAGAAAAAGAAAGTCACACAGTGAATTAAGTACAAAATACTTTTGCGTATAGCATGCGGGCTAATACACATTGTGCAATTATGAAACACAGGGGATTTAAACAAAATATACTTTACAGAAACCATGCATAGACACTCAAGAAAAATAAAGTCTATTCATAAAAAAAAAATCCTGAAGTCGTATTAATCACCAAGACACTCATTACATAGGCAATAAAGACTTAGCTTTTCTTCATTTAGCAGAAAAACAACACATTTTCCAGATTCATTGTCAAACACTCAAAATAATCTTTTTGTTATTAGACAGTTGCTAGTTTCTAGCAACTGTGCTGTATTCAATTTCAAAAACTGTGCGAAATTTTTGTATCTAAGAAAAAGAAAGTATGAATTTTAAAGGGAGAATGCTAGGGACTGGATACTTGGAAACTTTTCCAATGTTTGATTTGCAAACCTATTAAGTGTAGAGATACCAGCCTTAAGACTGTTTATGAGACATTTGATTTACTACCAATTGATGCCCACAGAAAAGATTTTATATATAAAGAAAGTAAAAAACCACAATATTTAAGTAAGTTCAATAATTTTGTAACTTACAATTAAAATCTGCATTATGAGGAAAATGGAACATTTGAGGTATTTTAATTCTGATGGTGTTATGTTTTTAAAATACCCTTAAATTTTCAATGTGTTCACTACATACATGCTATGATGAGGATTTAAATATGTCGCTACCAGAGGTTATATTATTTTAGCATTATTACCATGCCTGAGTGAATCCATGGTATTCAGAACCAGATATTCTGTTATTCTAGGAAATGATGATAATCTAAAAATACACCAAATAAAGTAGTTTTGGGGAAATAGTGTTTAGAAATGGAAAAAAAAAGACAAAATATATTTAAGAATATAGTTAAGCCTGATTCAATGTCACAAAAAAGGGAATGTAAATTTTTACCTAGAAAGAATTCCCATGAAGTTGCGCACAGATGATGCATGGAATAAGGATCGAACGTTTCCAAGACTGCTCAGAAATTCTGCTGTTTCAGTTATTCTGCCAACCCTATACAGTTGTAAAATTCTCACTGGACAGTCACTGCAAGAAATCTGAAATGATGTTTGAGATCTCATGAGTTAAAAAGCACATTTAAGATCAATACACTGCTAAAAGATAAAATCTTGTTCTAAATCTCAAAGTAACATTCAAGTTGGGGTTTTTTTGTTAGCAATTTGGGTGGCAATTATTAAAGAAAAAAATAGCATAAGAGAACAATCGCCAGAGATATTAAAAACTTAATGACTAAGTTCAAGACCTATTTAGACTTTTAGGGAGAAATTGAAAATTTCATGCTTGAAGTCATATGAAATTATCTTATCTGACATTTTGGGATCTCAATTCAAAGATGTGACATACAAAATCCCAAATAACTCTATGCAGCTTAGAGTCTGTAAGCACATAAATTATTGTCAGAAGGTCTATCTTGTATTAAAAATTCTTTTACTGAGAACACTCAGAGACTTCACTGTCTTGGCTGAACTACAAATATGTTAGCATCACAGTTCAGACTATCTGGAGGTAGTAACTCCCAATTAAGAAAGACTTCCCAATTAAGAAATAGACTGGAAAGGATGAAAACTTGGGTTGCAATCTCACCTCCCTGAAATAAAACAGAATATGAATCAGATTGAAAGACAGTGTTCCTTAACATCTTGTCAATTTATAGTCAGCTTTAATGCACTGATGAAATAATAGAAGGGAGACGATAATAACTTTCTTACTAAATGTCTAAGTGCACAAGTTCATCCTAAAATACATAAAGCAGAGTAGAAGTCCTATTTATGAAGTGCAACCTACAGATGAAATTAAAATAATGATTAATTTTAGACAGTTTGTCCAGATGGATAGGATATAGATTTGCTTGTGTCTGTGTATTCCTTCTCAGTTAGAAATTTTTCACAGAATACTCTATAATAGTTTGTCTTCTCAAGGCACAAGGAAAAAGGCAAAATGCTTTTTAATATACATGAACCATAGGCAACAGCTAGTAAAATGTTGACATTAGAGGCTGCCTAGCAACATCTTACTGCAGTCCAATATTGATCCAAGACTGGTCTCTGTCTCACAAATGCCCTTGGGAAAAAAATGGATGGTTAATCTAACTGAACAGCAACCCACTTCTTAATTCTTGTGTTTCAAAAATACAGAGATTTTTTTTTCTTTCAATACAAATGCTATTTCTCTTGCAAATTAATTATAAGTGGGAATAGTGAAAACAGTTTTATCATATTCTCACAGATCGATGCATAGAGATACAGAATCTTGGTTCAGTCAGTATGGTTCAGCTCTTGCAAAAGCTACCAATGACTGAACATTATTTATCAAATACTTACCACATTTCACCTACCTGAAATATGTTAGGAATCTTAATATCCAAACAATTGCACCTCATAAAAAGCATTTACTGCAAACAGCATTCCTTATGTCTTTGCTGATTTACGCAATGTCACTACTGTCTCTGAGTACATGTATACTACATTACTAAGGTACTAGTTACTCACCACAACCTACATAAATGTGTATTATTTCCACATTGAAAAGTGAAAGGAATATTATTCTACCATGCATCAATTGAAGAGCATCAAAAGGGAGTTTCATGTAATAAGATTAGGGCAAAGTCATTCCAGAACTGGGGACCTTCTACTTGCAAAGCTCTTCCAATTCAAAACCAATATAATCCTCAGGTAATTTTGCCTTCAGTGGTAACAGAGACGAACAAAACTCTCATCTTAAACAGTCATTTTGTTGGCTGTTTGTTAGGTAATATGAACTTAAATTACATGAATAAAGATTACCCTCTTAAATGTCTAGGCAACAAAGCAAAAGTATTGAGGTATGTGAGAAAGTGGGACTAAATGAGCCATGGACTTAACAAAGGGGTGAATAGGCAGTTACTCTTAATAATAGCTGTAATATCCAAAGGCCTTCAAGAATAGTTGTGAGTTAATTACATGTGTCATCTGGCAATGCAGACAGGGACTATAATTAAAAATATTTTTCCATTACAAGAGAATGACTGACTGAAGTATGGTTGAAACATACTGGCAGGAGACACTGCCCTCTGACTATCGTCTTCTGTGACTTGATTTATCTCATGGAATGGATCCCCCCCGAAAAAAAATTGTGTAGATTGCTATAAAATGGAAAAGACAGCCAAATTACCAATCCTAATCTGAAACACAACATACGTGTTTGCTGGGAAAACAATACTTCTAACACCATTTACATATTCATCCTCAAGGAATAACAAGAATTAACTTACATCATTTAGGCTTACATTGTTTATTGATTCAAGTAGTAAACTATCCAGGTGGCCAATAGCTTCTGCCCAGATCAATTCCACAAAATCATTAACTTCCTAACATACAGCACTCGAATGGATGCTTCTTCTAGAAGTAACTGTAGTAAAACAAACACAATTCAATGAAAGATGCAAGTCATGGCAGTGAAGCTCTTACACAGATAATTACACAGTGTGCGATGCTCATTCATGCTTAGTGTAATTTCTTCAGTCCCATTGAACTGAAGGGAAGGCTTGCTTTTATAAATTCTTTCAAGTGGAGAGCACAGCAAGCCAGATGGCCATAAGCTTTCTTGAAAACTGAGACATAAAGTCTTGGAGAAGACAGAAGTTGATTTACTTGATATCTTTAAGGGTACATTGTACTATCAGGTAAAATCTGGAATGGAATCAGAGCAACTAAAATCACATATGCCCAGTAAATACCGTACTGTATTTTGTTGCAACATCACACTAAAGTAAGAACTAATAAAAGAAGATAAATTATTTTTCAGCAGCAAAATAACAACCAAAAAAGTTTTGAGAAATGAAATCCTGCCCAGAGAAGCTGCTGCACTAAGAGGTCTAGGGTGAACCTGAAGATGAAGACTAGACTTCAATCTAGAGATTGGGAAGTGGGATTTTTTTGGTTGTTTTTTTTTTTCTTCTGTTTACAGAAATATCAACATAGATGTATCAAAGTATATCTTTAATTTTACTTTATTTACCTACAAGTCCCCACTTTAGATTCAATTCTTCTCTCACTGTCTTCAATAACAGTAAGATTGGAATTGTTGCTTTCATTTTTCTTCGAGGCATTTTAATTTCAGCAGATGACAGGTCTTCCACATCTGCAATCAAAAAATTTGTTTACTTGGTATAATACCGGTTTTCTCCAATTTAACTTATGAGTATTTAATAAAAACAATACTACTATTTAATATTCATAAATATTTTACACATTGAAACAAGTTAACAGCTTCTAAGGTCACATTTTATTCAGCCATATAACTGGCAGGTTACGGAGTCAAGTATTGAAGAGCAACTGCCCCAGCTGCCTCGCTGCTAGAATTAGTATGTCCCTGGGCTATGCCAGTGCTAATTCATCCCAGGGGCTTCACCACCCTGACTTCTGTGACAGAAAAGGGAAAAAGAATTAGACCACGTAGCTGCGAGCTAACACTGTGCCACTTGACCACTATTCCTCCATGGCTCATGGTGGTTTGGGGGGTTTTGTTTGTTTGGTTAGTTTGCCTTTTTTTTTTTTTTTTTTTTTTAAGTTGTATAGATATAGTGTCTGAATGCAGTTTTACTTTTAGCTTAAAACTATTTAGGACTGCTACTGAATGGATCTACCCGGCTTCAGCCATGCATGCCCACAGCCTCTGCTGTGCAAAATCTGATTTGTCTAACACACTCAGTGACACAGCAAATGTACAAATGCAGGGGTCCTGATTCTCATTCTTCTATATATTCTGAAAATTGTACTGATTCATGACATGGGAATGTTCATAAAATAAAATGTATTATGTCAAAAGTAATTACTTTTAAAATTACTTAAAAACTAGCACCCAGCAAAATGCAAGAGATGCAAAAGCAAAAGGAAATAAGAAGCATAGTTACTAGGAAGAAAAAAAATTAGAACACTAATAACTTTCAGGATGATAATTTTTTGCTGACTGTACACATTAAATAGAATTATCTTTCTCATCTCTTTTCATGTTCTTTGGCTTGTCTCACAGCATTAAAGTGAACATTTGTTCTTTTTTCTTTTACACAATTATAGCTGCTTGCATCTGAACCATGTTATGCGTTGGAATGCTTGAAGTTCTTCCTTGTTAATTATGTTGCATTAACTGTTTCTAGCCCATGTTAACATGCTCTCTAGCTATCTTATTTTCTCATAATTTTGACTTCAAAACATAACACTTCCTCATACAAAGGCATTGAAAACCCACTGCATTCTGTTGAAATTAACTAAACCTTCCAGTTTACTGTCTTTTTTTTTCCAGTGGAGTCAATTAAAGACAGTCATTGGAGTAGCTTTTTTGTTATTTTTACTATTCTTATCCTCATTTCCAACTTGAAGTCTTATTTGAAGTTTCATTAAAAGAAAAAAAAAAAATCAATTGAAAGATTCCACAGAATGGAACTAGCATTTCTTTTCTGAAAAATTCTAATTTTTCTGTCAACTTTATTGCCAGTTTCCATGGTTGCTGATTTCTTAAAAGCTGATTCCAAATATTAATCTTCTAATGAAGAAGATTGATGCTCTCTCCCACAGCAATCTCCTAGAGAAGCTGGCAGCTCATTGCTTGGACAGGAGCACTCTTCGCTGGGTAAAAAATGGGCTGGATGGCCAGGCCCAAAGAGTTGTGGTGAATGGAGTCAAATCCAGCTGGTAGCTGGTCACAAGTGGTGTTCCCAAAGGCTCAGTTCTGGGGACAGTTCTGTTTAATATCAATGACCTGGATGAAGGCATCAAGTGCACCCTCAGTAAGTTTGCTGAAGACACCGAATTGGGCAGGAGTGTTGATCTGCTTGAAGGCTGTACAGAGGGACCTGGACAGACTGGATTGATGGGCTGAGGCCAACTGTAGGAGGTTCAACAAGGCCAAGTGCTGGGTCCTGCACTTGGGTCACAACAACCCCATGCAGCGCTACAGGCTTGGGGAAGAGTGGCTGGAAAGCTGCCTGGTGGAAAAAGACCTGAGGGTGTTGGTAAACAGCCAGCTGAATATGAGTCAGCAGTGTGCCCAGGTGGCTAAAAAGGCCAATGGCATCCTGGCTTGTATCAGGAATAGTGTGACCAGCAGGACCAGGGAAGTGATCGTGCCCCTGTACTCAGCAGTGGTGAGGCTGCACCTCGAGTACTGTGTTCAGTTTTGGGCCCCTCACTACCAGAAGGACATTGAGGTGCTGGAGTGTGTCCAGAGAAGGGCAACAAAGCTGGTGAGGGGTCTGGAGCACAAGTCTTCTGAGGAGCAGCTGAGGGAACTGGGGTTGTTTAGCCTGGAGAAGAGGAGGCTAAGTGGAGACCTTAACGCCCTCTACAACTGCCTGAAAGGAGGCTGTAGGAAGGTGGGAGTCGGTCTCTTCTCCCAAGTAACGAGCGATAGGACGAGAGGAAATGGCCTCAAGTTGTGTCAGGGCAGGTTTAGATTGGACATTAGGAAAAAATTCTTCACCAAAAGGGTTGTTAAGCATTGGAACAGGCTGCCCAGAGAGGTGGTGGAGTCACCATCCCTGGTGGTATTCAAAAAACATGTAGATGTGGCACTTTGGGACATGGTTTAGTAGGCATGGTAGTGTTGGTCTGACTGTTGGACTTGATGATCATGGAGATCTTTTCCAACCTTAATGATTCTATGATTTTAAGATAAAAATTCTTTCCTGAATAACTGACAGATGAATATACTATGTACTCTTTCAGGTGACAGTTCAGCTGAACTAAAATACAGGTATCTTCAGAGTGTGTCCAGTTTTCTAGAGTAACTATGAAGATATGAAGGTGACCAGGTGCCTAATGTTCTGTAGAGCTTTTAGCAGCATATAGGAGGTCCAATAATGGGCCAAATTCTGTTGTGGCCAACACGGTACAAACTGAAAGCAATTCAGAGTAGAAGTGCTAAAAAAAAAAAAAAAAAAGCTGGGCAGAATGCTGAATAATCATAATATGGTTTGGTAGCCTTATAAAGAATCATACATTGTTTTACTGGAATCGTATATATGCTGAAAGTCAAAACTTTTTGCATAGTTAGGACAAAGTAAAAACATCTAGAGAAGCCAAATAAAATAAAATGGTCATAAGTAAGAGGCAGTGGATTTTGCACTTTGAACAGTTAATACTAAGCATGCAAGAATGGATGGACACAGATAAATGAAAGGTTATTACATCAGAATTAAATTAGATCTGCTTTAGTCAGAAATAGGATGATAAATGCATGTAATTTTATTATTTTGTAATTTTATTTGTCACATATGACAAAAGTGCAGCTTCCCTGATACAGCAGCACTGAGGCTAGATCTGTTCTGAGGTTCTTTTTAATCTTTAATCAGAATGTAACTTCTGAAGCTTGGGTAAGATTTACCCTGTCCACGTTGGCCACTTGTTGGGTGTTCTCAGCATGCTAGACCTCACAAATTTTAGGTATTGAAATATCTCTCTTCCCACTGTATTTATAAAGATAATCCAAAATACAAATTTCAGTTAATATATATTTATACTGCATTAACTCTTAGTTCATTTGCTATTTTCAATAATTAAATCTTTTTAGCAAAACTTTTTTTAAAGCTTAGTTGTTATATCTGTGGTGCGTGTTCATTATATATATTCAAAATAAAAAGCTGTATTTAAATAAAAACCTGCAATATCACAGACTTCTAACTCTACAACCATTGTTTCTTCACTCTGTAATCAAATGCTTGCATTAACAATAACATAACCAAAACCCAATTCAGTGATGCATCTCCTTATTCAGAGTTTACCCTCTCTAATGATGAGAGAAGAAAAACAGCATGGCAATTTTATCCAAGAAAAAAACCCCTCCCTGGTTCTTTTGCAAAGGGTGATATCACTCTCAATTTTTTATGTGACATTTCAGTACTGCAGAGCCAGATGCATTAAAAATGTAAACAGAGTATTTCCATTTAAATATTGAACAGAGACATAATCTCTACAGTTCTTATTTCTCTACATGGGGCAAGATTAACACTCTACAACACTCACACCACTTGGTATTTTCCTACTGAGATCTCAGAAATAAATCTGCAACTTACTTTGTACTTAAGCACAAAATTAACTAATCCACCGTTTTCTTTTATGCATGCTTTCAGCCTGCTCTTCCCCTGAATGGCTAAGTATTTAACTTTGATAAAAAACTCAGTTTGCAAAGATTGCCATTGCGCACCTGTTAAAAGAGAAAAGAATTTTGGTTTTTTGGCTGAGAAAACTTTCATTCCCACTATCCACCTAAGTAGTTTCTCACCAAATACATTAATTGCAACTCTAACCGGTTCCAAAACAAATCCAATTTTATTAGCATGGTAATCAAATCCACTTAGAACATCCCTTAATCAGTTTTATTCATTTTTTTTTAATTATGTGGAAAATTTAGTGTGACCCACATTTTCAGTGAAGTCATGGCTTGAACTAACTACCAAACTCCTGTCTTGATCTCTTGCTGTTAATACCCACTGTTAGTAATGTGGAACTATCTTAATTTAGGCTGGAACAACCTCTCTTTCAGTTCCTCTTTCACACAGTACCACTATAAAATAACTCTCTTTTTCAAGAATGTAAACTCTTTTCATGTTTCCACTCACTGATTTATAATCTGTAAATATAAAAACCCCCCCCATCCCACATAACCCCCAAACCCAAGAGGCTAGTTTTAATCCAGATCTGTTTTCTGATTGAATTCACCCTCTGGCCTAGCACAAAGATTTACAAAAAGGAATAGTGTAGCAGTGGAAGTGATTGAGAGGTAGGGAAGAGATGGGATTAGGGAGAGTGCTTCTCTTCTCAGTCATGTCAACCTAAATTGTCTGGAAGACAACTTGAATAAAAATTGGGTGCATGACATTTGTGACAAACTATGCTAAGATAAGAGAGGCTGGGAAAATTTTATTTAAACAGGAGTAGAATTTATGACAACAAAATATAATGGCAGCATCTGGCTTAACCAATTAAAATGTATCATCAATGTATTTTCCTGGATGCCTATGAGTGTAAAGTTACTTTAAAAACTGATGAGAATGATAATTATAGTGTAAATGGAAACACTATACAGAGCACTGACCTCGTCATATAGCATATGAGCTCCTCAGCATGTCATGGGCTTTCCAGGGTTTCAGAGCCCTTCAGTGGTAAATGAGCGATAAATGCGAGCTAGAGGACCTTATGGCTGGATGGGTTCAGACAGAAGCCAAAAACAATGCCCCCACTAAACTTTTTTGAAGAACAGTGCTCAGTTTAGTTTTCTCTGAAAGGCATTCATGCAGAGGGTACACCTCAAAACCAGTTTGAGACCTTAATCAACATAAGGCAGCTCTTGACAACCAAAAGATTTGGCTTAAACTTGCATCGCTGCTCCAAGCCAAACTGCTCATGCAGACACACTACTAACACTACAGTAACTATCATGAAGAGAACATATGCTTGTAAAACAAAATAGTCAGATCATGTATTCCTTTTATCAATGATTCTTTGGATCCAGCATACCATATCCATATCTCATCTGGAGGGTTAGTATCAGTGTCACTGGTAAAGACTTTGGTTTTACTCTATCATTTGTATTTCTGGAAAAGCTACTTGATGATGTAAATTTTCCACGGTGACTTAAAGCCAAATAATTTTATATGTGAGATAACTGGATAAAAATGACACTCTAGAGTACTTGGCCTCTCCAAATTCATCCTGGACTTACAGGATGAGGCAGAACAAATAAGAAATTGCTTATTCTGAAGTAAAGATAATGTGAAAGGAAACCAGTTCTTGTGTTAGCCAAAACCGTCTGATATTAAGTGCCCTCTCTCTTGGGGAGGCCATTTGGAGCAAAAATTACCTTTCTCCAACTTAATGAGAGTTCCCACATAGACTGCAAATTCTGGTTAAGCTTCTATCCTCCTACTTCTATAAATAAACACCTACATTAAAGACTGCAAAAAGGGAAGCAGATGCTGTTTGAACTACTTGCATTCATTTACCAATTCACGTTTTTCTGCACTATGTATGCAAATGAGGAAACATTTATTAGAACAGTTTCTTTACTAGTTTCATAGGGCTAAAACCAAAGAATTTAATTACCCAATAGGTTTTTCTGCTTAAAAATTAGCATTGGTCAAATTGCACCGAAGCCTTTATAAGGTCAACAAAACCTTTACATCAGCCCTGCAGAAAGATTCCACTGTAGTGTGGAGAGAAAATAAACCAAGATACAGTAACAATGCAAAGGAAATGTTTAAATGGCACTGACAACAGCACTTCATGATCTAATATAAGATTATTGTTTGGTTAATTTATCAAGGACCCAAGTCTAGAGCAGATCACCAGGATAAGGTTTCAGATAAAAATACAAAACCAAAACACATTAGCCTGAGGTAATTTTAGGGTGAGAATTAGAGTATGTTACCCATACTACATTTAAGGAATGTGTTTATTTTCTTACTCTATGGCCTACTTGATTTTCAGTGCATGCAAGTAAAGTTGTTCTTCGGTGCAGTAAAAAAAGAATCAGATGGCCAGCTACCATGGAATAACTTAAATTATTAGGTAAAAAATAAGTAGCTAGTCAAGAAGAGAGCACAACATAATTCATTTGAACTTGGGGTTTCATGAAAACCTGGGAAGTCAACACTATCAGACACAATTTTATACATGTCTCTACAATTTTATCTCAGAAAGGTAATCTATAGGAAGGGCCCAAATCATCTATCGCACTATACACCTGATAGAACTGACAATTCTGTAATGGCAATATGTGCATTTAGGTCAGGCAGCAGATCAAAGGGCATGAGGCCATTATATACCTATATTTTGTGTCTCCTTTTTTTTTATGGCATTAGCAGTGCTTTTGGCATAAAAGTACTCTCTACTCACAGAAAAAAACAACTCTGCATATTTTAGCCAAGAGGTTTTCACAAGATACTATGCTACCTGAGGTGATAAAAATCTTTTACGATACAGCCTTGTTTTAACTTGGTTCTGTGGGAAACTGTAGCTTTAAGAAATTCTACTTTGTGGTACAAAGTCTTATTTTAAGCTGCTTTTATCAACTTCATTTTGAATCTTTCCACAAACAACATAGATCAATTTGAGGCATATAGAAGGGCAAATGTGTCACTGCCAAAGGCTTCTTTTAATAACCACGGTATAGAGCTGGGCACTGCCTCCCTCTTCACTAGAGCTCTGCGTGCAGTAGTTTTCTCAATATATTCTCCAAAGCAGATTCTGGATACTGCTAAAGTATCACCAGAAGTTGTCTCCTCAGGAAACAATAAAATCTATTTGCAGCCAAAACAAAAAAGTTTATTAGTGGTCAATGAAATATATACAACCAATTGCAAGCATCAGCCCTGCCTATACATCCATATATCATCTGGAAAACACCAGAAGCAACTGAAATTGGTAACTACATGTGCTGCTGTCCTGGTTTCAGCTGGGACAGAGTTAATTTTCTTCCTAGGAGCTGGCATAGTGCTGTGTTTTGGATGTAGTATGAGAATAATGTTGATAGCAACAACTAAAACATCAGCATGTCAAGCAGGGCTTACACCAGTCAAGGACTTTTCAGCATCCCCTGTTCTGCCCGGTGCACAAGAAGCTGGGAGGGGGCACAGCCAGGACAGCCGACCCCAACTGGCCCAAGGGCTATTCCAGACCATATGGCATCATGCTCAGTATATAAACTGGGGGGAGTTGGCCAGGAGGGCAGTGATCTCTGGGCATTGGTCAGCAGGTAGTGTGCAATTGCACTGTGCATCACTTACTTTTTATATTAATTTGTCATAGTTATTATTATTTTCCTCTGCTGTTCTATTAAACTGTCTTTATCTCAATGCACGGGTTTTACTTTTTTTTTTCCAATTCTCTCCCCCATCCCGCCGGGGGGGGGGGGGGGGGGGGGGGGAGCGGGCGGCTGCGTGGTGCTTAGTTGCCAGCTGGTGTTAAACCACACAACAGGTGCAAAACTCCACAAAAGTATTTTATATTACATTTGCTTATGAAAACCAAGCTGCTAGGAACTGAGAAAAAAAATTCTTGCAAGAACTGATCCGTAAACAAAATATTGGGCAGCCAGTAAGCAGAAAGGAATGCGTAAATTTGAGGGATTCATTTCCTCCAAGTCTGTCTGCACACACCCCCACTTCTCTGTTCCCATCAGGAGAGGTATTAAATGACCCCTGATGCCACTCCTCTCTCTAGAGGGAGCCAAATCGTTTACACTCACCGGCTCAAGGCGGCTGCCCTCCCTGAAGGATATTCCTGCTTCCCCAACAGCGTGAGGTGCAAGTGGACAGCCTGGGCGTTGTAGGTAGGAAGGGCTGGGACACACTCATACCTCCCTGTAAAACGCCCGAAGGGACAGCAACCCAGGCAAATAAATAAATAAATAAACCAAGCATAGCACAGTCTACCTCGCTGCACTTGGAAAGAGAAAATTGTCACTGTTGAAGTGCAAGTCAACTTTGGAAAACCTGAGAAAGAGCTGGAAATCGAGTTAAACCTGTTCAAAGTGTGTCCCCAGCAACTTTTCTCTCCCCTGAGTGAAGATTTTATTCTCTTTCAGTGTTGATGAATGCTACCACTGAATAGTAGCCTTTCTTCTATTTCTCTAGAGAAACAAACTTCTCAAGGAATTTTAGCAGTGTGTGGCTTTACTCTTTTTGAATGGCCAAATTTCCAAAATTCAAAATTGGAATAGAAAACTACTGTATTTAACCTGTGTGTTGAGGATTAATTAACTGCTGATAAACACTTTTCTAACTGGAGTACTGTGTTGCTGCAGCACCAGATAAGGAAGTTATGCAAAGTGGAACTGTTGACAGTTATCACTGGTTTAATTCTTACAATTTTGATTTATCTGGGTGGAGATCCATAAGGCCGCAATAACCTCAAAAGGATTTCATACAGGCACATGGGCTTGTATTTCACGATCAAACCACAAATTCAACACCATTGCTAGCAACAGACTCTATTTTTAGTACAGAGAGGGAGACAAAAATAATTTTTTAATGTCCAACAATAGACCATGAATAATCTGTAGTCCTGTAAGGCCTTCAGTGTGCACGTAAACTGAAAACAAACCTCTACCGTATTTTCCTACTAAAGATGCCAAAGGGACTGAATGTGATTGTGCTTTAAAAAAGCATGAGTACAAATCCATGTATTTTCTAGCTTATCGCTGGTAATGCAGAATCCAGTCTGAGGACAATCACGTGGACAAAATATTCATAACTAGCGAAACCAAAATGCAGGAAAGATGATGGAAGGTTTAGCAGAAAGACCTCTGTGGAACTATAACAGCAGAAATTAAAACTAGTAGTAGGCAACTGAAAGGGCTGCCCTGGGTTTATACAACCTAAAGCTCGGGTTTGTACCTGCCCACCACAGCTGCAAAACCAGGCCACAGCCTGTGATGTACCACAAGTTTTTGGAGCGTGATGCTCTGCCACTTTCTGGAGTTTAGAAGAAAACAGTATAATTTTGCTCAGTGTGATAAGGCCATGCCTAAGGCACAAATCGTCTGAAAGCCAGGGAATGCTTTTTGCCCATTTACCTTTCCGTTCCTCCCTTACTGCTGCCATTTAAAAATTAAAAGGGTATAAAGCAGCCGCCGTAAAAGCACAGTAAGAAGTCCAAAGCCGCCCCGCAGAAAACGCCGCACGCCGCAAGGCCTGCGGACAGCTCGCCGA